AGCCTTTAGACTCGCTCCCATGCTGTTTCCCAGCCTCTTTGTTGACCACTCGGATTAGCTTTGTGTATGAAGCAAAGGCAGGAGGTCTGCCGAGTCCCCTGAGTTCCCCGCCTCCTCACCAGGGTCTTGTACTCGATCTGCTGCCGGATGAGCTTGTCTTCACTCAGAGAGTAGCGGGCCTCACCCGTGATGGCGTCGATGGGGCCCTTCTCCATCTGCTGCTTGATGGCGCAGTAGAGCATGAAGAGGGGCTCCCCCGCGCACTCCTGTGGGCACAGGCAGGGCACAAGGGGTGGGCTGGCACCCGTCTCCTCCTCTCCCTCTCCTGGCCAGGCTCCTAGGCCCGCCTTGCTTTGGAGCACCCCAGCCGGGCAGCTTCCTATTCCCGAGGGGTGCCCATGCAGCCCTGATGGCCAGGCTTGGGGCAGCAGTCCCTCGTCTTGCTCTCAACTCTAGGCCCCTGCTCGCTCCCATTCTCACCTTCAGGAACTTGTGCAGGAGGAAGGCAAACCAGTTGGTCAGCATCTTCTCAGCTACAGACTCTGTCCTGGGGAGGGAGAAGGGATGTGAGGGGCAGTCCTTTATGGAGGCGTCTCAGAGAGTGGGTCTGGCTTGTGTGCACTGTGGTCCAAGAGAGCAACAGGGCATCAAAGGGCACAGAGCTGGGAGCCAGAACACCAGAGCTGAAAGTGTGACCTTGGGCCAGAGGCTTTTTCTTCCTGGGCCTCAATTCCTTGTGGAAATGAATTGGTGCTCCGGGTCTGCAGATGAAGGCACCAAGTACCCCATTTCCACAGGGCTATCAATTTCTAGTTCTTCCTACTTCCTGCTGGCCTCAGGATGAGAAACAGAGTTTCTCTGTCCCTTTGGGATTCCTTGCATGCCTGAATACTCCATTTTCATACCCAGGAGGACCCTGGTACGTGTCCCTCCAACCTCTCAGAGTCAGACTGCCTGAATTCCAATCCTGACTCTGCCACATACTGGCTGTGGGACATTGGGCAAGTCATTTCATCTCTCTGGATTCATTTTCCCCATCTCTAAATGGGGACAATGATAATAGTGTCTATCCCTCAGGGCTGTTGTCAGAATTGGATGAGTTAACATATATGTAAAGTGCTAAGAATAGCATCTGGCCCCCAGTAAGCACTATTCCGTAAGTATTGGCTGTCATTCTTGCTGTCGTGTGGGGTCATGGATCCCAGCCGCTCAGGGGGAGAGCAGGGGACATGAGTGTTTAGCAGACAGGGGATCTGCTTCTGCAAACACCAGCCCTCCCCACCCTCTATCCTGGGCTGCAGATCTGGGGACTCAGGAACAAAGCCGCTGTGACAGACCCTCAGTGATGGGGATGCCGAGGGGTATTTTAACACCCCACACATGGTGCAAATTATACCCTCCGGTTGCAGTAAATCCCACGCATTTGCCAGGGCTGCTCAGCAGTCTGGGCCTGGGGGAGAGTGACAATGGCAGAAGAAATTGTAGCTTTGTCCCCTGGCCCCTCCCAGCACCCTCTTCTGCATTGTGCCTGAGATTAGCTCTAATTTAAATACAACAGTTCTTAATGAGAGTTTCTAATGCTCAGATTGGCAGGATGGGGGCTCAGTGCTCATGAAACAAAGACATTCTTCCTCCCTCTTCACCCCACGTGGGGTCTGGAAGCCTGAGACCTCAGCTAGGAGCAGGCTAAAGAGGGGGGCGGAGAAATGGAGGAGGCACATTCCAACCCCTGCTACCAGAGGAGGTCCAGAGCTCTGCTCAGCTCCCTGGGGCCTCTAGGGAGGGTGAGCTCAGGGAATGGATGCCAAGGTCTCCAGCCATCTCTCCTGCCGGGAAAAAGGGCACCTGGGGAGGGGGCATGTGCTGGCTGCTGGTGATTCGGATCCTGGAAACTGGGCGCCGAAGGGATAGGCCGCACCAAATCTCCAGCCCGCCGGGAAGGAAATGTTCTCTAAGTGCGCTGTCCAATATGGTGGCCAGCACGTGGTGACTGAGCCCTCGGCATGCGGCTGGCACGACCAAGAACTGAACGTTACATTTTATGTCATTTTAGTTCATAGCCACAGGTGGCTACCGTGTTGGGCAGCGCGGCGCTAGAGGCCCCGGGAGGGAGGGAGGGAGACCGGGAGACGGTGTTCCTGCTGCCAGTTTGTCGGTGGGGAAGCTAAAGAGCAGAGAGGCCACGTCACAGGCCCGGGGGCACACCGTAAGCAGGTGGCCGAGCTGGGGCTAGAGCGGAAGCCCGGTCTCCTCCATCAGGCTGAGCAGCGGCGGACACGGCCGCCAGGGGCCCTGGGGAGCTCAGGCTCCGTGCTGCGAGGGACGGCGCGCGGGCTCAGACCATGGTGCGTGGGGTCTCATCTGGGGGTGGGGAGCCTGTCGTGCTGCTCCAGCTAGGCCCTGCCGGCCAGCCCGGGACACCCGCCGCCCTCCCCGCCCCCAGCCGCGGGGCCGACCTCCGCAGCAGTAGCTTCGGGTGGTTCTTGTTCTCCAGGTTCTTCTCGATGAGGTCCGAGAGCAGCTGTTTGAGGACATCGGTGGCATACTCCAGGCGGCCCTGCAGGCCTGTCATGATGAGCGAGGCCACGTTGCCACGGTCACGCATGGAGAAGCTGCGCTGGAGCTCTAGGGTGCGGATGAAGGTCAGCAGGAACACCTTGTTGTTGATGAGCTGGGCGAAGAGCTTCAGGGCCTTCTCCACGTGCTGCTGCCCGTTCCCCTGTACCTGGGGTGGGCGGGAGGGGCGCGCCTTCAGAGGACAGCCTCCCGCCTCCCCGTCCGGGCTGGCACTGAGGGTCTTCTGGCGAGAGCCACAGGACTCTCCAACCGCCTGGCTACAACCCCCCCCCCCTGCCGCCCAGGAATGGCTGGTCTCTGAAGTCTCTGGTCTGCTCCGCCCATCCACTGGGTTGGGGGGCCTGGCTCCAGGCAGAGCCCTCTGAGGGGATGCTGTCCATCTGATTCTTCCAGGGAGTCAGTAGGAGATACTGCATCAGACTTGCTTGGTTTACTAGTCTCCATTTAATCCTTTCTGCCCTGATTTATTATCTTTAGTAAAACAAACCAACACGTGAATAAACAAGCCTCCCAGAATCATATGTCCTTTCCGTAAGCCACCTTAAATCCTTTTGAGAATATGACAGGATCTTAGTCAATTAATTTAGTCATTAATTAAAAAATGACAATGAGCCTTCCCCTGGAATCATCCCAAAGAGACTGCATGCCCCCCGTTGGCGGTGATCTGCCTGTTGTGGTGATGCTGTTCCCAGCCGTTTCTCCTCATCCCTCCTGACCCTCCTCTGAGCTGTTGGGCCGCATCTGCATTTCCCCGGACACCCAGGCCCTGCGCTCTGGCTGGCTGACTCGGGGAGGGCGGCAGGCATTACCTCCAGCTCCCGCAGCACGGGATGGTCCTCAATGCCAGGGAACAGAACTCGCATAGCATAGGTGCGGTAATCCAGGTAGGGGATTCCCGAGCGGTCCAGGTCACTGGTCAGCTCATTGATGTCTGTCTGGAGCTCAGCAAAAGCTATGCAAGTGCAGGGAGACAAGGAGGCTCAGGAGGGCACCCCGCGCAGGGGAGGGGGAAGGCAGGAGAAGACGTTTGTGAAGGAGGGGTGGGCCTGGGGTGTAGCGACAGGGAGGGTTGCAGGGACGCGTCTGCAGAAGGGCTGCGATCTCTCCAGGCCTCCTCCCGTAGGTGGTGGGCATGTGGGTGATTTCTATATTATTTCCTCTTCTATGCTGATGCATAATTTTGACGTGTCTTTCTATGTATTGTAATTGTAGTTAAAACAAAGAAAAGGGAAGAACACTACGATTTGGGTCATGCATGGGCCTGCAGGTTCCGGAAACAGCTGAGAGGCAGTGGCCAAGGGGGTGAAGTGAAGACGAGAACAGGCAGCTTTGCTCCCCTTTTTTTCCCAAGCAAGAGTATCAATCCAGATGCAAAAACCCTGGGCAAAAATGAACATGAAAACTACCACGAGATACCACTTCACACCCATTAGGATGGCTATTATAGAAAAATGGAGGGGCGCCTAGGTGGCTCAGTTGACAAGGCACCGGATTGTTGGTTTCGGCCCGGATTATGATCTCAGGGTCCTGAGACTGAGCTCCGAGTTGAGCTCTGTGCTCAGCGGGGAGCCTGCTTGAGATTCTCTCTGCCTTTCCCTCTGCCCCACTCCTCCTCCCGCTCATGTGCACACACGCTCTCTAAAATAAATAAATAAATAACATTTTTTTAAAAGAAAAAATGGACAACAAGTACTGGAGAGGGTGTGGAAACATGGGAAATTTTGTGCATTGCTGGTGGGGGTATAAACTGGTGCAGCTGCTCTGGAAACCGTACTTGGTGGTTCCTCAAAAATAAACACAGAGTTACCATAGGACCCAGCAACTCCACTCCTAGGTATCTACGCAAGAGACCTGAAAGCAGGGACTTAGATATTTGTATACTCTTGTTCGTAGCAACATTATTCACGCTACCGAAGGGTGGAAACAACCCAAATCTGTCCATGGACAGATAAATGGATAAACGACATGTACGTACATTCAACGGAGTATTACTCAGCCTTAAAAAGGAAGGAGATTCTGACGCACGAAGCTTTAAGATGCCGAGTGAAGTAAACCAGACACAAAAGAACATGCACTGCATGATTCCACCTACAGGCGGCTTCTAGCGTAGTCAGATTCATAGAGACAGAGAGTAGAATGGTGGTTGCCAGCCGCTGTGGGGGAGGGCCTGTGGGGGTTTGTGTTTAAGGAGTACAGAGTTTCAGCTGGGGAGGATGAGAAAGTTCTGGAGATGGATGGTGGGGACAGTTGCACAACAATGTGAATGCACTTAATGCTACTGAACTGGAGGAAGGAAGAGCCTTGGGGTGTAGAGACAGTGAGGTTAACCAATTTAAAAGGTAAATTTTAGGTTATGTATATCTTAACACACACACATGCACACACACGTGCGCACGCATGCAGGGGACACTAAGAACACCAAGCCCAGCCTTGGGGCGTATCCCTCTGGTGGCAGGCATGTCTCCCAGATGCTCCCCTGCCCTGCCACCAGGAGAAGTCTTCCCCTTCTTGCCCCAGCCCAGCGCTTCCCTTTATTCCAGCAGAGGCCTTGTTCCTGATCCTGACATTTGCAGCAAAAGGAGAAATGTTTTGATTCCTTACTGAAATGTTTACTCAGAGAGCCTGCTGGGTCCTCAGCCTGAGGGGACGCCAGAGATACCTGTCACCTCCAGGCTGTGGTTGCATGGGAGATGGAGGAAAACATTCTCTACTCCCTCGTGCGTCCAGAGCCAAGGACACCAGCAAGCGGCGGCTTTCAGAGCGCTCAGCCTGTGGCGCTGGTGGGAAACTAGCCCTGGGGGAGGCTGAGGCCACAGGCAGGTGGGGGATCCCTGCCTGCCCTTCCTGCCCCTGTTCCTGCGGCTTCCACATGCTCCCAGGGCAGCTACGGAGGACACGGGAGCCGGACTCCTGTTTGGGGGGCTCTACAGGGTCTGAGAGAACCAAGTCTGGCTCTGTGGGGAAACAGAGGCCCTGAAAGGGAGAGAGAGGGGGCCAGCTTGGGGGTGAGTCAGGGCACAGGAAGGACCTGAACAAGATGAGCAGGTCTGGGGCCTCACCCTGGGCATTCTCTTTTTATTTATTTATTTATGTTTTTAGAGAGAGAGGGAGAGAGGGGTGGAGGGAGAGGGAGAGAGAGAGAGAATCTTAAGCAGGCTCCATGCCCAGCACAGAGCCCGACGTGGGGCTCGATCCCACAACCCTGAGATCACGACCAGACCTGAAATCAAGAGTGGGACACTTAACCGACTGAGCCACCCAGGTGCCTCGCCACCCCCACCCCCAGGGGCATTCTTAATAGGACTTCTCTGGCTCTAAAGGCAAAGGGAGTTTCTGGGCAAACAGAGGCTTAGGGCGGGAGGGATGGCAATAGAGACGGGTTGTCTGGAGGGAGGCATTAATAAGGCTGGTGAAGAAAGATGGGGCCAGGAGGCAAGGAGGGGCTTCCACTTACCTTCCTTACACTCCAGGGCCACACGGGACTCCAGGTTGTCCATCTGCATCTGGAGCCTCTTGAGAGTGAGGTCGTTTTCTCGAGACTTCCGCTTGTAGGCAATGAGGACGATGATGACGATGATGAGGAGGAGGCTGCCGCCTGCCGCGATGCTGACAATGGCTGGCAGGGTCAGCAAGCTGTCTGAGACGACACTCACCGAGCCAGGAGAGAACACTATCCCGCCCACGTGAACCTGTGCATTGCACACACACAGCCACTGTAGAGCGCTGGCATGCCATCGCATCCTTAGGTTTCAGAAAGAGCATGAAAGACCACAACCATACAATACAGACTTGAATATGAAACAACTTCCTTAATCTGCCTGCCTTTTCTCGCGTTCTCCACTTCTACCCATTTCAGTGCAGAACATGGTGACAAGGAGCTATGAAGGAGCCTTACTTTATGACAGATCAGCGAAGAGAGGAGGAAGTCAGTAAAGGAAGGGGGTTCACTCACCATGACTTTGTGCTGCCCCGTGAGGTTGGGAGGCTCGCAGAGGAGCTGTGTCTCAGACACGGTGACAGCACATGGGGTCTCTCCGATCAGCACTGTGTAGTTGAGTTTGGCACCTCCAGAAGCGGGAGGGCAGAGGTTTTTGCCCTGTAGATAACAGTAATCTTAATAGAAATAATTGACACATGCGCGCAGAAGTTAATTGCCTATTACCAAAGAGATTAAAGAGGTAGGAGAAGGGCAGCCAAGCAAAAGCCAATAGATGGCTTCCCGGGAAGTTTTTGGAGAAAACTTCAAACAGCCACAATTTAGAGAGCCAAAGGGAAAATGGGAGGAGAGAAAGAAAGGCAGGAAGAGATGGGGAAGAAGACAGGAAGGGGAGACCACATGGCGAACAAGTGAAAATCTGGAGGAGGGCAGGTGGGATATAAACAAAAGTAACAAGACAGGTGGACAGATCGTACCAGGGAACCGTGACCTCTTGAAATGTGTGTGCAGGTTATGGTGGCCGGGGGAGTGGACAATAAAAGGAAATGTTTACTTCCGATGCACTGCAGAACCCTGGGGTCCCAAAGCTCACAAGAACAAACAGAAATACCGTAAAGGGTTTCTCAAGAATCCCAAGTGCAAGATCTACGGCTGGGTGAGTCCATATCTATAAACAATCTCCCTTGGCAGGGAGCTAGTAGCTCTGTGAGTCCGCGTGCACACGAAGGTGAAGGGAAGGGCCGGGGGTGTGGGGGCCTGTCGCCATCACTGTGCGTGGCAGGCTACACTCTGCACATCCTACCTTCAGAATGATTGGGGATCCTGGCTTTTGATCCAAGACTCCTGTAGGGCTGAGCAGTTCAAAGGTTGGGTTGGGGTAGTAGATGAACTTAGTGTCGTTGTAAATGAGCAGGGACTGGACGTTGTTAAAGACGAAGCCAAACTCATCTGGCCGCTCCACGGCGTCCAGGCCGGGCCGGTAGTCCGTGGTCAGAGAGGGCGCCAGGCAGGTCAGGGTGGTGGTGTTCACGACTTTGCACACCTAGGAGGCCCAGAGTGAAGCACTGAAATGAAGACTGAGCGAGGGTGGGGGTATCATGCTACTGCCTCCCCTGCTGTTTGCTTTGGTGATCTTCATTAGATGGTGAGCCCCTTGAGAAAAAGGGCTGTGAAGTTTTTGAGGGGGGCATGCATTTTAACGTCATTCATTCATTCATTCATTCACTCGCCACCATTGTTCAAGTGCCTAGTCTGCCAGGCACTGTGCTAGGAGCCAGGGCCCTCTAGCGACATCATCGTCATCTGCAGGGGGAGACACAGGACCCAACATGCTTTATAACAGTCCTGGCGGGGGACCTTGCGTGCAGAAGAGGCTGGAGGCCTCTCTGGTAAATGCATGAATGGGTGTGAGAAACGCTCGGGTGGGCAAGGACCAGGTAGGGTGGGAGGATCTGTGTGTGAGCATGCATGGCCATGGCCTGAGGATGACTCAGGGACGCTGTCCCTTGGAAGAAATGAGTGTAATGTAATCTGAAAAACGAGTGGGACTCACCTAGACAAGGAGGGGGGTGGGGTGTGGGGACAGGTTCCAGGCAGAGGGGGTGAGGGAGAATGGGATGTCTGAGGACACAGCAGGACAGAGGCAGTGTAAGGTGTGTGTGTGTGTGTGTGTGCGCGCGTGCATGTGTGTGCGTTGGGAAGCAGGAAGTAGCATGAGATGAGCCCTCCACCAGGACCCAGGAGGTGTTCAGTTAATGTTTATTGAATACATTGATGAATAAAAAGAACCTTTCAACTCTTTGAACGTTCTATTCAGGATCTCTCTCTTCTGCTGCCTCACTTGGCACAAGGGAACAGCCCAAGTACTGACACTGAGTTCATAATGTCCTTTCTTTCTGGGTAGACCCTGGTGTCCCTACGAGAATCCTAGCTACTACGCTGGCCCTACTGAGCAGGGGCTGTGCAGCTCCCTTCTCTGGCGGTTTCGTTACAGGGCTGCCAAGGCAGCGGTCAGCCCCAAGGAGCCACCACTGGACCCCCGGAGGGCTTGCAGACAAAACCTGGCCTCCCACCCCTCTCCTCCTGGCTTGCGCTCCGAGCGCCCCAGTTCGGGCTTCGGGTGTCCCAGCCACAGCCAAGGGCATCTGGGAGATCTCAGCCGCACAAGTACACGCTGTCCTGGCAGGTCCACACATGTGTGAGTCCAGCCAACAGACACACACACGGGCTTCATGTTCTGAAAACAAGACTGCGTGTGAAATTGCAGAAAAGCTGACAGTTGCACAGAGATGATGTCAGAACTCCGAGTCTAAGGATTAACCCCCACGTTCCAGAAGGAGTTGACGAGTTTCATCAGAACCGCTCACTGAGGGCCTCATGCCCTGTTGGAGGGCAGGGCCCATTCCCGCCCATTCCCGCCCTTCCCACGCAAACCGCAGCGGTCCCGCATGAGACGGCCGGCCCCTTCCTGGTCCCGCTGCCGACGCTCTGGCACGAGGAACACGGTGGGGGGGTGGGGAGAGCAGTCAGGGAGTCTCGGACCCTGGGCTCTGTGGGGCAGAGCCTCTTCCCTCTGCTCCCCCACCTCCGTCCGCACTCATTCCGGCGCCCCGGACTGCACTCCTCTCTGAATAAGCAAATCATCCCCGAACAAGCAGCCTCTGTTTGCCTCCCGCCTGGCCGGTGCTGCACTGGCACTTTGTTTGCCAAACATTCCTTGGGGTTTTGTGGCCTTCGCTTTGGCCCTTCTCACTTCTCCCTGGGGCTGCTTCAAACCCCAGAGGCAGAGGGAGCCCCAGGGCGCCGAGGATGACCTGGGGCCCAGGCAGGGCCCCCCGCGGGGCAGAGCCCTGCTCCCCCACCACTCCTGACAGAGAAGGCGCGGGGCAGCGATTATGAGTTTTCCAGGTGCGGAGCCAGGCTTGATGAAACCCGCACGCCAGGCCTCTCCTCCAGGCACGCTGGCCTGCAGACCCCGGGCAGGTCACCGCTGACACCGAGACCCCCAGCTCTCCACAGGGAGGGATTACCCGGCAGCTCCTTGAAATATGGAGGGCATGGGGGTGGGGGGGTGGGGAAATGCTTGGGAGATTCCTGCCCCGGGGGGCTGCAAGCATACTCTGGTGAGGGGAGGGGACACTCAGGACTTTAGTCTTTCCAGATGGAGGTCAGGTACAAGGAAGGCCTTCCCAGACCAGTGTTCTCTTCCGATGGCTTCCTGGGGACGAAGGCTGCAGGCTTTGGAGGTTAACCTCATAAGTCACATACTTACTCTGTACCACGTTAACCAGGTCTTTTACTTTCTGTATTTCTGATGCTGTGACATCTGGGGCCTTACTGACCTGGAGGACCTCCCGTCCCAGGGCCAGCCAGTGCCTGGAGACAGCAAACAACTTACCCGCCTGCCAGAGCATGCTGTTCTAATGTAAACCGATCAGTGCAGAGCCCACACCCCCCACCACCTCCTTTTACACGCAACTATCCACAGTGTCTAATCACACCAGGCCAAGTACCAGACAGCTAGGGACAGCCCCTGTGCCCCAGAGCCCTGGAATATGATTCAGACCAGGCGATCCTAAACCTGCTTACCTTGCCTTGTCGGTTCCTTCCTGCAGAACTTCCTGCCACTGCCTTTTCCTCCCTCCGCTTCTATACCCCTCCCTGGCGCTTCCCACGTGCCACACCCCCCGCCCGCGGCGTGGCAGGCCCCCCCCCCTGCGGCTCTATGAATATAACAAACTGTCTTTCCGATGGCAACTGTCTCCTGTTCTGTTGGCCCTGTCACACCTGAGTCATAATAAAACCTGTGTTTTAAAACACGTACCTAGTTTGTGTAGGGGTTTTATCCTTCCTGAGTGCGAGCGCACTGTCCCCATGGACACCCCTCACCTTCCTTCCTTCCACTTGGGCCCTGGAGTTTGACAAGGTGGTCTGGGAGCTACTGGGAGCTACTGGCCTCGGTCTGGAAGTGGAGTGGAGACATTCGTTCTTTTACTCATGGATCAGACTCTCCATCTGGGATAAGGAGACGTGGGCTCTCCTCACCCACAAAGCTGTGAGCACGGTTGCTACTAAAGGTGTGATTCAGGTATCCCTGCATGTCTGCCATGAGGGAAGGTCGTCACCAGATCAGCAGCACCTCACCTGGTCTAGTCATGAAGGGTCCAGGTTTTGGGGATCCAGTTGGCCCTGCTACCAGCTACCTTCGTGGTTGGGGGGCAAGCCATTACTCTGCTCTGGTCTTCATTTCCCCAGCTAGACGATGAAGGGGGCGGTGGGTGGACCGGAGGATCCCTGTAACCTTTTCAGATCTAGCCTTCAAACACTGTGCATTTTGTGCCTTTCTGCATTTCCTAAGGAAGCTTCTAGCATACTGGAAAGCCTGTCAGGGGTAAGAGGATAGATGCAGTACCATCTTTCCCATCTCCATCGCTACCTACTCAATCCCCTGAGGTCAGAGCAGTAATAATAGCAATTATACAATAAATAATGGCCATAATAGCATCTCCTGGACTATAATTATGAACACAATCGTGTTTCAGAAAATATTGGCTAACAAGACTGAGAGGGAGCCACTAGAACAAACCAAAAAAAAAAAATTTATAATGCCATCTCAGACATTCTGCTTTTACGATCTAGAACTCCTTCAAAAAATCACAAAAATCCATAGCGAAAAAAAATTAAATGACACAGCTCCGCATAGGGGAGTAAAGTCAAATGTTGGACCGACCATCTTAGCCACCGGGATGGAAGGAGCTGCGTGCAGTGACTAAGGTTTGCTGGCTGCTCACCCGGCGCCCGCCAAGGACTGCGTGTTACAGGTCTGCGAGGAGAGTCTTATCATTAGCATTTACAGGCAGAGAATAGAGGATCACAGAGGTTAAATGACTGGATCACGGCTGTACAGCTAATAAATGGCAGTGTCCCGCTTCCAATTCAGAAGGGTCTGAATCTGGAGGCAGAATTCCTTCACCCTTTCACACTGCTTCTTATCGGACCTCAAAGTGAACATGGCATATGAAACCGGAGCCTGTTGGCGCTGGTCTCGCAAGCTCAGAAGCCAATACATTTATATACTCGTCGTACCGCCTTCCGACGAGAAACGATTATACAGCAGTTGTAAGAGTCACTGTAAGGTTCAGGTGTTTGGGGCCCTGATTCTGGGCTCGGGGTCTTGAACTAACTTTCTTTTCCAGTAGGTGGATGCTCCCGGGCTGACACGGACCTCAGCACGTCACAAACACAGACACATGACTGTGGTTACGGAGGGCCAGGCAGACTAGGGGGTACTCACATTGACAGATTCCTTGCCATTAAACTTGACTCGGACCCTTGGCTCCTGAATGACATCCAGGTTGAAGCCTGTGATGGTCAGGGGTGTGTGGCCACTGGGAACAAGCAGAGGCTGGGTCAGGTTAAAGGCCCCCTCAAACGGCGAACCCCTGCCACCCTGGGTCCCCTCACAAGTCCCCCTGGCCCAAGGGGTTATGTCAGGTGGCAGCTGGGCGCCTCCCTCCCACCTCTGCCTCACCTGGCAATGCTCCACTCCGGCTCAATGCGCTGCACCCGGGGGTCGTCTATGTACTCGAACTGCAGGTTGTTATCCACGCGGGCTCGGTCGACACTCACGGAAACTGGGACTGGGCCCAGTCCGTTGGATGACGGGGGTGAGACGCACACAATCTCGTTCATTGACCTCCTGACGGGGAGACAGCAGGAGGGTGGTGAAGAAAGGCCTGGGCAAGGAGGAGAGCTCTCTGGCTTGGGAAGGGATTTTCCCTGGTCTGAGGGTGTGGATGGCCCAGAAGCGCTCTCTTCTTTCCTACTCTACACAGTGGAACGGATCCCTTATCGGTGTGTATCGGTCCCTCTTTTTACTGGAGAGCCACCTCTGGTCGGAATATGGAGGGAACGAATTAGAGAGGGGGATTAGAGAACGTGGGGCAGGGGCAGGGCTTCATGGGCTCTGGGGGATCTTTTCTTTTCTGGATTTTTCTAGAATAGACTAGTTAGCCAGGGTTTAAGAGTCTGGTCAGTCATTTAATAAATATTCACTGAGGGCGCCTGGGTGGCTCAGTTGGTTAAGCGACTGCCTTCGGCTCAGGTCATGATCCTGGAGTCCCGGGATCGAGTCCCGCATCGGGCTCCCGGCTCGGCGGGGAGCCTGCTTCTCCCTCTGACCCTCTTCCCTTTCGTGCTTTCTATCTCTCATTCTCTCTCTCTCAAATAAATAAATAAAATCTTTAAAAAAAATAAAAAATAAATAAATACATATTCACTGAGCACCGACTAGACAGAGAAGGGAACACACAGTTCCTTCCTTGCCCTTAGGGAGTTTCTAATCTGAGGAGGAGATAATTGGATAATCCGGAGCCTGTTGGGTTTTCAACCATGGGTTCTGTCAGGGTGCTCTCAGGAGTCTGCATACCCCCAGGGCTTCACTGGTGTATCCGGCGAATAGCAGGTGTTCGGGTTTTTATGCACAAGAGATGCCCCGAGGATGAGCGTGTGTGCTTGCTGAGGACTGAGGCCACCCAGCCTCCGTGTCTCTCAAGTCCCCATAGTGGGGACCTCGTCAGTGCTCGGTCCCAATGATGACCAAGGAGTTTCTGGGACTTTCCGCACCAGCAGTTCTCAGGGCCCTCGTCCTAATTATTTTTAGAAGTATCCAGCCCCTTGTTAGGTTCACTAGTGGTATATATTGCTATAAACTGAGTAGTAGTATATATTTCGCACAGGGACAGGAATGGTGTTTGGACCCAGGACGTCCACACCATAGAAGCAATGGGGCAGGCACCTGTGTGAACACGCCCAGGAGCAGGTGTGCGCGTGCCTCACGTGTCCAGCCTTCTGGGGCTCCTGTGAGCCCATCTTACCCATAGAACTCGCAGGTCTGGTTGCCCAGGTATACAGCCACGCTGCTCCCAGCCCCGAGGTAATGGCCCGTGATGGTCACCATGGTGCCTCCCGATTCTGGCCCTCGGATGGGGTTGAGTGACAGCACGGAAGGGTTCTTTGGAAAGAAGCAGAGAAATGGTCACAGCTCAGGTTTTGCCCAAAGTGACAGACCCAGGCTCGACGTAAGGACCAAAGGAGGGACTGTGTCTACACTCGGGGTATAGGTACTTTTCCTGCCCTCTCTAATCTCTTCTCCTGGAGCTGAGACTGTTTCTAAGAAGAGGCTCTGGCATGTCCAGGGAAGGCAGAAGGGCCACATTTTAGAATTAATTAACTCCCGGGGGAATCTCATGCTCCTAACATTAATGGGAAGGCAGAGGTAACACTGACTAATCTATCAATTAGTTTACAAATTGAGAGCAATTTGAAAATGCTTCTCTATCTAGAGCCTGTACTGATTTTTTCGGCACAAAATCGATAAGGCTGGATAAAGCATCCTTGTCTAGATTGGGCCACCAAGGGGCTAAAGTCTTCCATTAATGGCCCACACACATGTCGTGTCCCCTCTGAAGCACATGACGGGCACCGCAGGGGGCCTGGTGCTCAGAGCTGTCAGTGAATGCTTGACATGGCTTCCCCAACCTTCATCAGGAGGATGATGAAGTCAGTGACCAGGACTTTCTAGTAAACTCACTAAGCTGTAAAATTAAATCTGAAGCTTGAAAGAAATGTCATCTGGTCTATAGTGCATCAGGCAGCTGACCCAAATCAGAAAGGAACTGCTCCTGCCTGGAGCACAGGGGAGTAGAGTGGAAAGTGCATTTAACTGAGCAACTACACCTGCACGAATTCGAGTCTTCATCAGCCATTCACTGTCCACGGGCCCTGAAGCAAGTTTCTGGATCATTCTGAGCTTTTGTTTGCTCCCATGTCGAGAGGAGGGTGGGGTCCGTGATCTCTAAAGCCCCTCCCAGCTCAGACATTCTACAGTTCTGTCTCCACCTGAGACCCTGTCCTGCATAGGAGACGGGGTAGGCTGCAGTACTCTCCAATCTGAGAAAAAGACCAGTAGTTTAAAAAGGGCAGAGATGCCAAGATAAGAAGGCAGAGCCTGGAAAACCTAGGGCAAGCAGTAAAATGCTTTAGAGAGAATAAAATTTTGTGGTCTAATGATTTTTCAAAACTCTTAGCAAGGCTGGTTTGATCCCATCGGCTGGTGTTAACACATTTTAATGAACAGCTCAATGTGGTGATATAGGTACATGTCAGAGGAGGGACCCCGAGGCAAGTTACTGATTCGGTGGGAAGATCCCCAGAAGCACGCTACCGATTCAGTAGGAAGATCATGCCGGCCTTAAAGAACGCCTTTGTGAATCTACTACCTGCTGCCTGAGCGTGAAGAGATGTTTTCAGGTGTGAGAACGGTGAGAATGTGCATGTGTGTGCGTAACCACCCCACCACACACAGAGCAACTCACGCGCGCACCCTGCTCCCGTGGGCCCTGCTGCAGACACATGTCCCCGTGGGATTTGAAGTGACTTTTCTAAACTCCCACTTACATTATCCTTGGCAGAAAACAAAGCATGTGCATAAATATAAACCTTTTTAATTAGGTCCCCCAGGCGATGTGTCCTCATTAGGCTGGATGAGACTAAGATGTCACATTGGCGGGACAAGGGGCAGCCCCTCCCCACCCTATGGGTAGGATCCACTTTCTAAGAAAGGCCTGATTTTGCCTTATTTAGCACTCTGATCTGTGGCTCTCTGGGACTCTAACAGCATTGTTAGTCACACACCCGTCCCACCCCTGGCTTGGGAGGGGGTGTGGGAATTCCCGGGAGAAGTTTGGAACAGAAGTGTGCCCCTGCTGGGAGCTCATAGCCCTGTGCAGGACCCAACACTCACCACAAAGGTGTACTGTTGATGGGACTTGGTCATGAACTCTGGCTTACACTCGCCAATGCACAGGCGCACGGGCCCGGAGGTGGTTCCCACGAGGGCATGACCCATCTCACAGACGATCCTGAGGAGAAAGCAAAGCTTCCCGTGAGAGGCCTCGCCAGAGCTGTCATCCGTGCCCGCACTGCTCACCCCCAGCCCATTGGATGACTCCTCACACCCTTGCACTAGTGCTATACCAAGACTCAGCTTGCTCACCCGTCTTGCTGTGTGACCCTGGGTAAAGTGCTTTCCCTCTCTGGGCTTCAGCCTCTCATCTGTACAGTGAGAGGCTGAATGAGATCACCTCCAAAGCCCCGTGTGCCTCCAGACGCTATGTTGCCTAATTCTCTGAATAAACCCGTCTTCCCAGTGCCGAGTGCAGGACCTAGCGCTGGGTAGGTCCCAATCTTTGTCGAACAAAACCCAATGTCCAACAGAGAGACCTAGGGGCGGTCATTTAGTTAGCATTCTTTCCTGTGTGATAAGCCAAAATTGGAACTCTCCCAAAAGGAGGGAGGGAGGGCCTATTTGCCAAGCTGATTCAACTGTGGTTTGTTTCAGACAGTGAGTTTTAAAAAGGGAATAGATAATCTGTGAGATAGTGAGCGCCCCAAACAGGAGCTCCCAACCAACGGGAGGAGTGGAGTCCTGCGTCAGTAGGCGAGGGGGTGGGTGGCGGATGAGTTCATTAGGACAGCAGTTGACACTGGACTCCCACTTAATCAAGGTCTGAGTGCACTATGCTGGTGGGCGAGGCAGTGAACCAGCCACGGGGTTGGAAGTCACGTCTCACATTAAGAGGCTGGGGTAGCTGGAGGGAAGAGGGCATGCAGCGTTCTCTCTCATGCAGCGCAGATCAATACCCCCCGTGATGACTTCCCTGGTGCCTGAGATCAGTTACAACAAGCACATTTAGACATTGGTTGCCTTGGCCACAGCAGCCTTCTAGAAAGGGTGGGCAGCTGGAAGATATGGGAGAGACTGAAGAAATCAGGTTCTTGGGGGTTCTTCTTGCCTGGAATTAGAAGGCACAGGGCAGGTGGGAAAGGGCCCCACCAGGCTCGGCTAAAAAGGAAGCTGGGGACAGAAGAAAGGACTCTGCTTTTCCTCCCAACACCATGTGAGAGTTCAGAGCGGTTCAGTGCCCCTGGCAAGTCTGCTTAGTGGGAAGTCAGGAGGAAAGAGCCGGGTACACTAATCCCAAGCATTACCCTGGCACCGTGGGGAAGGCCGGTGTTTAACCGGGCGCTGCTTATCTTCCCAGCTTCTCTGGGAAGGTAACTAAACAGATTTCATTTCGATGTAATAAAACTTGCATTAAACAAATACACCGCATACTCGCACACACGGCATGCCACGCAGGTTTCCACCTCCTTCCTAACAGTTAATCCCAAATAAGTACTTTAACTCCTGGTGAATATTGACTTAACATGCAATAACTGTCTTATTACGTTTAGCATATTAGATTCAACAAGAAAGTACTGAATGCACACGGAAGGATACTCTCCTTTCCCTTTCCCTGTGAATAAATAAATTGCGAACCCAGAGTAAAGACTATAGTGATGATCAATTAGTATCTTACACGTAACTGTCCTCTTAAACCTCACTGGCAGAGCATTTGAGAAGCTTAATTTAAGGTGCTGCGCGTGGTTATTTTCATGCTGCTACCTGCTCGGAGTAACAAATCTCTCATCCTGTTTCCGGGGCCCTAGCCCCTGCCCCTGTGCGGGGTCCCTGCCAGCCTACAAACCGAGCCCTGTGCTCCCAGGGGGCTTCAGAGGAGACTGTCATCTACCGCACGAAAAGAGGGCAAATAAGAGTGGGGAGCAGATAAATCTCTTTCCCTCTCTTCTAATCCGGGCCCTCTTGCCCCTCACTACCCACCCTGCCCCCACTCTGTGCCAGAGTCATCCTACAGAAGAAAGGAGGAAATCATGGCAGGCTTGACGTCCTGGAGAGAGGAAATAGGAGAACATGTGAAAGTCGGGGGCATAGTTTTTCTTCCTTGGGCCCAGGGGTCCGTCTAGGAGAGGACAAGGCTGGGAAGGGCCTGTTCAGCCGTTTCTGTAGGGAGTTAACGATGGCCTGGAGCCTTTTGGTGCACCGTCTTTTCTAGAACATTTTCTTACTCAGGGCTCACGTCCCAAAAGATAAGCTTTCCATATCAAGGGCCTGGGACAAGAGGGATGGATGGGAGATGAGCACCACCCAAGCGTCCAAGGCTGAGCGTCCATTGTTGGCTCTGAATGCCCCACCTGGGAGGGCATGACGCCGGGGAGCTGGGGTTTGGCCGCAGATCCACGGTCTGTGTGCTCCCTTCTTTGGCACTGCACCTGACACCTCTCCCCACCTCCTCTCCCCGAGGTTTAACTTCATCCTGCGGTGGGCAGCTGTGGGCCGTAGAAAGCGGTCTGGGTGGTAGGGAAGAACTGGATGAGAACCCTAAGGAGTCAGCACGCAGAAGAACCCCAATGGCCTCTAACCCTTCTTCCTTTTCTTCCTGGGACGTGGCGCTTGTGCTGAAGGATGGAGAGGCATCCTTGAATGCATCTGTTGTAGGCATTTGTTCTCGGAGCTCAGGGAGAGAGGAAGGTGAAGGAAGAAGCAAGGGCAGCTGCAGGGAGTAGAAACGCTTATATGGAAGAATGAGGGTCAGGCCAAGGCAGATTCGGTACCTTAATAATACTAAGAGCGACAATTTACTGAGCGGTGATCGGGGCAGGTGCTGTACAAGACAGGATCCTGTGGCATCTCAGGTTCTCCTAACCTAAGGGTGGGTCTTATCATTTCCGTTTTCTGGGCAATGACACTAAGGCTCAGAGAGGCTAAGTGACTCATCCACCAACACAGTGGCAGACCCGTGATTCAAACCCAGGCCAGCCTGGCTCCAAAGCTGTGCCTTTGACCGTTCTGTTCTACTGCTTCTAGAATCAATGGAATGCCTTCCAGGTGTTTTGGGGAGGGGGCATGGTAGACACGGCAGCAATGCGGGGCTGCACTTGAGGTTGCTGGGGGTGTGGGGAGATGCGGGGGCGAGGGTGGGGGAGTGTCAGTTGCGTTCCTAAGACTCTGAGAGCTGACTACCCGTGCCCCCTACCTTCCTGGGTGCGGATGACCCCAGGCTGCGGTGTGTGCACCTTCAAGCCTTACAAGTCAGTGAGGTTCCTGTGGTTTGGTTTCTGGGGGCCTCCTGCCTTCTCGGCCTCCTTCTGTTGTCTCTGGTGGCTCGAGGCTTCCTTATATATCATAAAGAGATGATAGCTGGGGATGCCTAAATTTTTTCCTTGCAAAATGAGGAGCTTGACTAATAACCGTCCAGCTTCAACATTTGGACGTTCAACTCCTTCCTGGTTGAGAGGAAGCTTCTGGAGACACATCTGTGACACCCACAGGCTCTCTAATGGTAGGAACTGCAGTTCCATGAGGCATAGAGTTTACTGCTCTGACATCCTAAGGACCATAGATGCAATTGTAGAGATCATCTATTTCTCCACTCTCCAGATGAGACACTTAAGGATCTGGGAGCAAAGTCATTTGCCCAAAGTCACCCAGCTCACCAATAGCTGAGCTCCTGGCCCCCAGTCCAGTGTCCTCCCTGCCCTACCGTACCACCCCCCACAGCCTAGCAGAGGTGGTGCCTTTTTCCCTCTGAGTGTACACTCCTGGGGTGGGAGCACATGCACCTAACACCCAGCCAGCCATGACTGGTTCACAGGTGCAGCAGAGGAGGTGGGGGAGGGGGGGGAGACAGGGGTCTGAGGACCCGGGCTGAGTCTCTCTCACAGAGTCCCTGTCCCCCAAAACGGCTGAGCTTTAGCCTCCACTTGCATCTTATCACCCAGAAAATGTCCTGTGATGGAATCAGCTCGCCCTCCACAGACCGGTGGGGTGCTGATTGCAGGACTAAGTGGGGCCCTTTAACCAACATTAACCTAATTGCTGAGTGATAGATGGCGTGGCACAACCATATGGTGAGCCGTTACTGGGCCCACTAATCCTGCCCGCACCCGGGACACTGCACTGGCCCGTTTAGCCAAATTCATCTCTCCCAGACATCTGTAACGATTACTCCTGCAGCTCACTGCCTGGGACGGAGGCTTTAATGATGTTCACAAACTCCGAAGCCTCCAGAGTGGTAATGAGCCTGGCGCGGTTGGGAAGCAGGGCTGCACCAGCCAAGGTGCGGAGAGTGCTTGCTTCCTCCTGCCCGCCCCGCGCCCCTGAAGAAGGCGATGGAGATGCTCCAGGGCGCCTGGCCACCGGTTTCAGCTGGGACCCCTGGTGACCAGTTGCCTCCCTGGGCTCCCCTTCACATCCTCCTTCCCGTGTCTTTCGGCACTTTCTCCCCCGTGGCCCTGGGTGAGGGTGGTGCCTTTGATTTCAGAGATAGACTATTTCCTCACATTCCTACGGCACACCGTGATCTCCCTTTCTCCATCTTACTGAATGTCCCCCAAAGCCCGTCCAGTAGGAATCATGATTTCCATCAGGCTGATGAAGGTCAGAGAGAGCGGACATTTGCTAAGGTCTCAGGGCTGGTGAGTAGAGCAGCCAGGACTTAGATCACCTTTGAACTCCAAATCTCATGAGCTCTCCATGTCCACTTGCTCAGGAGCCTGTACTTCTCAGCTCAAAGCCCTACCCGTTGCCCCCCAGACCCTTTCTTTTGGAGTTCTGTGGCATCTCACCAAGCTGGAAACTTGGCCTGTGTCTAGAGGCTCAAGGCAGGTCCTTGAGGCCAAGGTGGATTCAGGGAGGGGTACCGAGTGTCTAGCCCAGCCTGGCAGGGCGCTGACCGGGAAGAACTCTGCAGGCTGTCCTGCCTCCCGCCCCAGAGGCTTTCCTCTTCTGGCTGTGAAGCACAACTTCTGTCAACTTCTTTCCCCTGTCCCTCATCTCTTTCCTGGAGACCCAGCCAGTCTTTCCTCCAAGATTCAGTCCTTGAAGGGATAAGGTTGTCAGGGGAGGATCCAGTCTAAAGGATCAGAACGGCACCTTCTTGTCCCCACTGCGGGGGTGAGCAGACACCATGTGATCCTTAGAGTCTGGGGATTCACCCCTCTGATCCTGACCCTGCTCTGGGCCATGTCAGAATCATGGGCCCTGGCCCCAGAGCCACTCGCTGATGGATCATGGGATCTTCCGAGGACTCTTGTCCAGGAGGCTTGCCCCATCGCTCTTACGAGATGGAGAGCCCTGCAGGAGAAGTTCCAGCTCTGCCTAGGCCACTTGTGCCTGGAGTGAACTGTGGACGTCCTTTCACTTCTCCACGCCTTTGGCTTTCTCCTGCTTTGGAAAGGGCGATAGCAACATGTATCTCTCAGAGTCCTTCCCAATTAAAGTGAAATAATGGATGAGAAAATCCAAGTACTGACAGAGATAAAGTGATACCATTTTTCCGGCTGTTACGGGAGGCTGGCTCTGGGGACGTCAAGGGGAGGGGCCTGGGGCCCCGGGGGTGGAGCTAAGGGAGAGAAGCCCCGCCCACAAGCCGTGCTCTCCGAGTGTACTCCTAGCACCCATGGTCCAGCTATGTTCTCAATGGAACCACGGTGACCTGACCCCACTTTACCTGACAAATCATGAAGAACGATCTGGCTGCTCCCCCTCACTGTCTCTTGTTGGGGGGTAAGAATCCCTCCTGCCACACTCCCGCCCCCAGCTTTGTGCCCGCCTCCTGCCCACCGTCTCCACAGCGGTCGCCACTGCCAAATGAACGCCCCAAATTGGAACATATGTCACTCCTGGAGCCCCGTTCGCTTGTCCGCTGCTACACGCCTATTTTCTAATTTCCAGCTGACATTTCCCTTAGTGAAATAAATGAATTTGCTCCGGCGGAGGCCCTGCTCGGATTAAGGGGCTGTCAGAGCCCCACGAGCCAAACAAATTGTTGCCTGCAGCCCACCGCACCGGCTGCATTCCAATGGGGGCGGGCAGGGGAGGGGCCGGGGAGACCCAGGAGGAGCCTGGGCTGGTTGGGAACGTGGCTCAGTCACCACTGACCAGGCGAAGACGGGATGTGGGGCAGCGCTGCGCCGGGAGCTCTGGTGCCACAGGAACCAGGGACAGGGAATCGCATAGGATATGAGCCTTCGGGAGAGGAGGTGGGGTAGAAGAGGACCCTGGGCAGGCTTCTGGGGGCAGGGTTCACGGGAGGAGAGGGAATCCTAGAGAAGTCCCAGAGAAGGGCAAGGGAGAGTCCCCACCCTGAAGCTGCCTGGGAAAAGGGCGGGCCAGAGCGCGCTGGACTCACTGCTCAGCGATGATGTAATCCCCCGGCAAGGGGGTGCAGGGCACCCCAGCCACCTGCACGTGGTGGGCGATCTCAGAGAAGTCCAGGCCCAGGTTCACGCCATGGATGGTCACTCGAGTCCCTCCTTCAGGTGGTCCAGACACCGTCAAGATCTGCGGGAGGGAAATGGGATCACAAACCTGTGGGACCACAGAGAAGAGGCAGCGGGGCCCTTGCCCTGCCCCGGGGAGAGGCTGGGGGACCCCGTGCACACCCGTAATCTGGGGGAACGGAGCATGTTTTCCTCCACCTCTTAGCCTCTCTAGGCTCCTGACATCATCTCGTTTTATAGGACTTCCTCAGTTCCTGAGGTCATTAATTCATTCATGCGTTCGTATACTTAAAAAAATTATCAGCAAGGCCTGGACGCGAGGCAGAAAAACCTTATTTGAGATGTGTCCCTAATTCACTAGCTGCCTGATGGTCATCAAGTCACATCATCTCCTGAGACCCCAGCTCTTAGTTGTGAAGACGGGGATAATCATCTCTACCAATCCGGCTCCGGGGCACCGAACAGGGCATGTCCGGGAGCTTTTTGTAAAGCGAAAAGGGCTTTCTAGTTGTAATGTGCTATTAATACCACTCCTGTCTGCTAGACACTGTGGGAGTTACAATGGTGAACAGGCAGGAAATCAGGAAATTTGCCCTCAAGTAACTTCTGGTCAAGGAGAAAGCGATAAAGGAAGCCATAAATAATGCTGATGCGGGGCACACAGTGATAAGATGGATTTGGAGGAAAGCTGTGGGAGCCCAGAGGAGTCCAAGATTAGGTACTGTTTCGGGGGTATGATGAAAGATGCGAAGTGTGTTTGATATTGTACTCCAAAAAAATCCCAGGATGCCTGCTAGAACCATGAAAAACAGTAACTTTAGGATTTTCCAAATTTTGCTGGCTTCTCATTAGCAAGGATCATTCAGTTAGTTCCCAATTCAGTCACCAAATGCTGTCTCATTTTGCTTTGACCCAAAACAGGAAAAGAAATCAAGCTCTCTCAAGGTAGAAACGTCTGTCCAGGATTAGAGCAGGCTCTTAGAAAAATGCAGCTCTTTGGGATGGAACGGATAGAGTCCAGGGAGTAGGTTTATCCTTTGTGGTCCATACTTATCTGAAGTAGGAGGAAGTTAGACATGAACTCTATCACTGGAAGCAGGCTCAGAGTATCTTACACTAAGATTCTTGTACAACCTGTATGTACAGTTGTAAAAAAGTCTGAGGCTCTTTTCACTACACCATAAGAAAGGCAAGACGGCGTGGGAGGAAAGGATGGAGAGAGGGAAGGGTACGTTGGTCAAGGCCAAGAGTCCACCAGAAATCTCCCAAATGGAGCTTGGGTCCCACTGGGAGCCTCCATTTAACCCTGTACATACTGGTGGAGCATCCAGTGGGCAGTGGGGTCAAGTGTGCCCCAGGGCAGAGATGATCGGCAGCACAGGTGAAATGCTGTAGAAGGTTCTGGAAACTCTTCCCTCCTCCCTGCCCCCCAAAAGGGCACTGAGCTCTTCCTGTGATGTGAGCACCATTAGTTGTGCAACCAACTTGGCCATGAATGCCCAGGTGATGGTGGGCAGAGAAGAGATGATGGTGGGAAAGAAGACCGGAACAGGCCTCCCTCCCCGCCCGGCTGACTCCTGGGCTCTCAGCAAGCTGGCTGCAAAGCCAGGACTTGAACTCAGACCTCCTGCCCCCATCTTCTTCTGCAAGTCTTACATGGCATGGTCGCCCTCCCTCCTTGACGGGCTAGGCCATGAACTCTCTCATCTGGGGGCTCATTTCACCCAGGTCACCTTGTCTGAGGCTCTGGCTTCCTTCTCTGCGAATAAAATATCCCACCTTCTGAATAAAAATAAACAAGATTCATGAAAAGAATCAAGGGAAGGATCGTGGAGGTGGTTCGGAGGCATCTCTGTGTGTTGGGCGTGAGTCAGAGAACCAGAACACTATGGAGACAAAGGAGCTGGCCTGAGGAACCAGTAGCCCCACAGCTTTCCTGCCCCAGGGGGATCTAAAAATAACCCATATGGGATCTTGGCTGTCGCACTCTCCCCTGGAACCTGGGCCTCCCCGGCTCTGCGAGATGGACCCCTGTTAATGAGGAACAGGGAAGGGGATGCCTCCATGCCCCTGCAGGAGACACCAGTCAGAAAGAATTTGCTCTGAGCAAATTCAAGAGCCCGTTTCTCCTCTGATCCACGAACGAGCTCCAAGGGCCCCTCCCCCCTCCCCCAGCCACCTGGATGACAAGAACCCACCTACCAAAAAGAACTGACGAAACTGTGGTGATTGCTTTGCTCTCCTTCCCCTACTTTTATTTTTAAAAATACATTCTTTTGCTCGCTGCAGTTAATTACAACCTTTCAGAAAAACTGTGAAACGGAATCCTTCTGGAATGCCTAAAAATATTTCCATCTCACAGGTAGCATGTGGGCATTGTATTGTGGATGTTCAGCAGCTTTGGCAGGACCCGTGAGGCAGCCTCCTCCAGCTGGTAAATCATCAAAGGGTCCCCTTCTGACATTCAAGGGTTGGGGTCCGAGATATGACCGTGGGCCCTGGGAGGGGCTGCAGGTCCATCTGCCAGAACAGAGTGGCTCAGAAGCAAGTGCATGTTGCATAAGCCATCATACTGTTTACAGAAGAAAGACTTTTTTTTTTTTTAAATTGTTAGCAAGTGTTGTAGTCTTGGCATGAAGACATGTGTCAAAGAGATAGCTAGTTTGGGGTGTGGAGACACCAGCCTGATCACTTGTAAGCTAGCTAACAGTTGCTGGAATCCAAACCTGGAGAATGAGAGTCCTCACGGGTTGTTGGAAAATGCCTGGGGGCTGCTTGGGCCCTGGGGGTCTTATTCCCCACACAGAACCTAGGGTAGGTGGCAAAGGGGTTTGGGGTCAAGGCATTAAGCAATCGGCATGCCCTAGGGCTTACGAGGGACACAGCTTACATCTTCCTTGCTTGAAACAAAACCGATGTGTAAAAGTCAGGATTTCCCAAACATAGCTGAGGTGGCGAGCATTTGATTTGCGCAAGCATTCCCCCGGTCTCCATTACTGATGACTTCCAAATCTATATCGTCGGCTCAGACCTCTCTCCTGAGCTCCATATCCATATATCCAATTGCTCCTGGACATCTCTACTTCCACATGTATGTCCCTCAGGCCCCCCAGATTTCACCGTGTCTAAAAATGAACTCTTAATTTTTCCTCCTTCCACCCCCAACCTGACTATCCTCACAGATTCTCTTTCAAGGTTAATGGGGTCACTGCGCACCCAGCCAGGATCCTTACAAGCACCTCCACCTGTCTCCTTTCTTTCACCTACCTACCATGTATAATAAATAACAGTCACCAAGCATTCTCAGATCTTATTCCCCAGCATCTTCTGAATCTGTGCCCCGCTCTGTGTCCCAGGGGCAGCGATGAGCACAGCCCCACCACCTCTCATTCGTACTAACTGCCTCCATGGTCTGACGTCAGAGCTAACTTCCTCTTGCCCCCGGGGTGACCTTCATGAACACATACCTGGCCAGGTGACTAGTTGCTTGCTCAGAAAACCTTTAAGGTCTCTGACCACTGTCAAGGCAAAGTCCCTAATTCCTGGCCTGGCACTCATCCTTCAAGTTCTTTCTTTAAGATTTTATTTATCTGTTTGAGAGAGGGAGAGCGCAGAGGAAGGAGGAGAGGGAGCAGCAGGCCCCCCACTGAGCAGAAACCCCAATGCGGGACTCGATCCCAGACCCCGAGATCAAGACCCGGGCAGAAGGCAGACGCTTAACCGACTGAGCCACCCAGGTGCCCCTCGTCCTTCAAGTTCTGATCTTTGTTACTTCTTCAGCCACATCTGCTGTGTTATACTATGTCCTGTGCTCTCCCCAGCTTAAAATCAGAGCAAGTCAAGGTGGAGGTCTGGGCTCAGGTGGGAGGGAACAGAAAAAGGTAACCTGTCGGACACATCCCCTAATACCTGAGGGCTTCCAGGGGACTCGGAGAATGAGGAGAAGGGCCTTGATGTCTAGGTGGTGGCGTGGGGTGGTAAAAACCCAGGCCTCCTGCTTTCCCTGTTTCTTCCAGGACCAAGTACTGGGGAGAAGCTACAGAGGGCAGGCTTGATGAAAAAGGACTTACTCTCCAGAAAGCAAGTGAACAGGATCTTTTCGGATACCGCTTCAGACCAGGCAGCTGTGGGGTCCCTCGTCCACCCTAGAGATTGCCCACAAACCATCTTAAAAGCAGCATTAGATTGTAGGGTGCTCAGTATAGCATCTGCAAAGCTTGGTTCTCTTGGGAGAAGGACATAGGTCTATAATGAGGCAAGTTGGTGGAGTCCCCTGCTTACGGAACTACAAAGAGGGCTTTCAGATCAGGAAGAAGTTGTGGGGCTCCAGGGCAGGGGAGAGCTAGCCTCCTACAGAGGTGCTGGTGAAAAAGCAGGATGGGAGTTATATAGATGCCTCCCACCCCCAAAGACAGAGGGGAACCAAGACAGGGCTGGGATGGTGGTCAGATCCACATATCCTGGCTTCCAGTTTCAGAAGGCCCTTGCTGCTGGCTATTCTGGGAGAGGGAAGATAGCCTACCTGATACTCCGGGAGCACCTGCAGCAGGAAGAGAATAAGTCAGACTTGAATCTGAATGGTAGCCCTGACACGTATGAATGATGTGACCTTCAATCTCAGTGTCCTTATCAGAAAACAGATAACACTACTTCCCTCCCAGGGATGTTTTGAAGGTTAAGGAAGACAACATCTGTAAAGGCCCTAATAGGACGGTGGTTTAGAGAGCAGGTCTTGACAATTGGCAATTTCCTCTCCCGAGTTCCCCCCGCACCTGCGCCTTCCCAGATCGTGACAATGTGCGATGGTGGCGTTGGTGGGGAGTTTACACAGGCTGGAAATCTTTCTGTTTTTCTGTAAGGAGGACACAGGGACTGGGGAACTTAGATGCTGGCGTGACGGAGCGGCAGAGAGAGCTGCCCACGGGCTGACTGGAGAAAGCCTGAGAGGTGTCCTACAGCCTGAGCCTGTCCATGCTGCCGAGGACAGGGCCTTGGCTTTGGGGGATTCTGGGCCCTGTGCGGAAGCATACTCTGAGCCAGACATCACCCTTTCACCCAGAA